CCCCCCCCCGAAGTCTTCTGCATGTCGAGATTGTGTGCTTAGGATGCAGGCGCGCACAGGATGAGCATCTGTCGTGATCGTACGACAAACAGCAGTTGCAGGCACGGTTCTTTCAAAACACCGATAAACGCTTCGTTGCTCTAGCTTTGGGAGCTCTTTCAATTCCAGTAGAGATGTTGATTGCTCTTTCCCACACTTACCTGGGTTTCTCCAGCCCTGTGTGTAGGGTCAGGCTTGTGAAGATGGGGCCTTGCCCCGAAGGCGGGCGTTCCATGCCCGCACGGCCCAGCAGCGCTCCCAGGACAGACAGCGCTTGAGTAAACTGCAGAAAAGTGATGTTCTGGGGGATGAGTTGCAAGATTTCCTGTAGGGACTGTGCTGAGACTCTGTGTGTACTATACCAGAAACAGTCCGGGTGCTTTATTTTGGTTAAAATCATGGGAGGGGGGAAACCCAACTTGGTCCTGAACTATATTTCTATTTAAAGGTTGGTTCAGATTTACTGGGAGACTTGAGCATTTGTCCTGCACTTCCTGATGCTATATTTCCAGCACGTGCAAAATCAGATTGCAGCTGTGTGGTCAGGATTATTTAGAATATTAAAGCACCACTTCTGTTCTCCTAAATGGAATGAAAGAGCCCTAGAAGGAAGAGACTTTATGTGTACGGTCATAGGTATTTGAGAAAGAACACGCCATTATGAATTAAGTAATTGGGACTATTGGAAAAAGAGCACAAATGTGCCTTGGGCTGGTATTAACAAAAGTAATACAAATGCCAAAACTTGAATTATTTTCCTGGTTTTGTTCACGCTTTGCGTACAGAATGCAGAGCAAGAGTGATAAAGTCACGCTTGCTGTAGCCAGTGAAGGTACGTATGGGCTGTGTTCTGAACACGCTGCACACAAAGAGAAGCTTTGCTGAGAGTACCCAAGGTAGGTTTGACCCTAATAATCACACGGGGTGTGTCGCCTTGCTGTGAAATGAAAAGCAAGGCCAGGACTTGCACAAGTTGTGTAGCTGGAAAAGGCACTTTTGTGGCAGCCTGTAACAGCATTAGGAGAAACTGCTAATTAGGGAGAAAAAAACCCCCAAAACAGTGGAGTTGTACAATGTTGAATAAAAACTTTTAATGCGTGTACAGCGCATCAAGGTCAAAAAGAGGCTTCTGCTTTAGTGTCCATGTGTGCATGGGTGCCTAAGAGTACAATTGCCTTAGTAACGATGACGTGAATTAAGTAAATACATTGCCAATTTTAGTTTCTTTTTTAACAAAGAAGAAATAAATTACAACATAGCTGTTAGTCTGTCTGCTGTAATATGTACATAAATTTAAATAAATTTTTTTGGTAAAAATAATATTTGTGTAATTCTTCTGCCTCCTTGTTTGTTCTAAGGGTTTTTGAATTTCACGTTGCACTTAGGAGCTATCTTGGAGATTCGTGAGAATAAGTGTGACGTACTGCAGTAATAATTGAATGAAACTACTGATTTTAAATTTCTTATCTGCTTAGAATCTTAGTAAACTTGAAGTAGTTCTTTCTAACTGGATTCTCCTTTCCTGCTGTGGAGGAGCAAAGGGAGATTTTTCTGAACCACTGTGTCTCCTTTCCTGCAGTGTCTCTCACTGGAAAACCAGTTATTCCTCACCTCAGTCCAGCTGATTATTAACCGATTAAGCCTAGCTGCTTGGCTTGCAACAAGAGCCTTTTATGTATTTCTCTCGAGTCCCATTGACTTTCTTGTTGTCTCACTCATGTTACAGGTGTCTGTGCTTATCCCTTTAACCCTCCATCAAGTCCTCTCCATGCTTTTCTACCCCTCCTTGTCCATTTTCTGTTGCTGCTGCTGCTAATGTTTTCTGACTGCTTCCCTCATTCTGTTGTCTTATGGTTTCACATATCCTTAGTGGTCAGGAAAAATTTAACTTTGTTTATCTTGTGTAGTTTAAAATACCTTTCTTGTTCTAAGTATATTTGATTTTATGTGTGTGTGTAGTGTTTTGTTGGGTTTTTTTTTTTTTTTTCCCCTCTGTAGGACACAGCAGGACAGGAGCGCTTTAGAACACTGACTCCCAGTTATTACCGAGGAGCTCAAGGGGTTATTTTAGGTAGGAGGTATATGGAAGAAAACATGATTACAAAAAGTGTGGTCTTTATTACTACTTAAATGTGCATGTATTTACAAAGGAGGCTGTCTGAGAGAATCAGAGGAACAGTTATCATCTTTATAACATTACTGCATCATTAGCTCAAACACTGGCAGGAAGTAATGCCGCTTCAAAATATTTTAAATTAAAAATACAGAGATGTTATGCTGCAAGCTGTTCAGTGGATGAATTATTAGCTTTGTAGAAATTACTTTGGTTAGTTTCGAGTAATAAGGGAAATTGGGTATTGTGTTGGGTTTTTTTTTTTCCCCCACAATGTTTTTACTTTTTTTTTTCCCCAGACACTGTTGATGTGATTACTGTAGGACATGAGGTTTGTAGCACAAGTAATGGATGGCTAGCCCCTTTCTGTGTGATAACACCCATGAGAAAAAGAAGGGATTCTTATTCATGGGGATTGTGAAGGCTGAACACCTTGCTGTACAAAATAATCTTTCTACGATGCAGCTTTTTAAACCTTAGTGATTAAGTGGAGTTGTGAAGTTACCAGTGACCAAAGTCACTTTTTACTTAGAATCCGTGTTTTTCGCAACAGTGCATGCATGCAGTCACACATTAAATGAGGTGCCAAAATACCTATTTTGAAATATTCTGTGTGGCCCAATTTGGAACTATTAACAGCTGTAAGATTTCAACTGGTAAGCCTGATTTCCAGTCACAGACCTATTGGAGAGATGCTCATGTTCTGCAATCCCTAGTGACTCGGGGTGAGCACAGCCAATGTGTTCCAGCTCTGGGAAGAGGGTATGGTTGATGCATCTTTCTGTAATTCCCTAATACTGCTTGGGGTTTTTTTTTTTGGGGTTTGGGGGCAGTAGTTTGCTAGTAGGGACTAAGTTCTGCCATAATGAAGTAAACATTGTTCAAGACTCTACAGCTGTTAAGCTCCTTTTCCTCTGTTACCAGTGTATGATGTTACAAGAAAAGACACTTTCACAGGACTAGAGAGCTGGCTGAATGAGCTGGAAATGTATACCACCAAAAGCAACACCGTGAAGATGTTAGTTGGCAATAAAACTGATAAGGTCAGTTTAGAAATGCATCCTCTTACACTCTTCCACAGATTACTTCGTCGTGATAGAGTATAAATGTGAATAAGTGCTGAAACTAACACATCTCTGATATGTTCTGTGACTGAAGAACCTAGGTTGGGCAGGCTCCACTTACTACCTCATTTTTGAAGCAGATCTTGTTAAAGACTTTCATGGAAACTCTCCTGGAGACATGCAATTGATGAGAGAGATTCTTCTGAGATAGTGAGGGGTTCTGCCTAAAAACCACTGTATACCATTGATGTTAACTGCAGTGCAGCTGCTTGCTTTTTGACCAGACTGTTTTGGACAGGTGGTGGGGAAGGAGAATTCAGCTCTTCAGATGGCTGTAGAGTATGCATCTGTATGGGGGTGAGGTGTGCTGGTTGCTGTACGTTTCTGGGGTGTTTTGACATCTCTTGGATGCCTGTTGCATAGC